CAGTGCTGCCCACGGCTCATGCCCCTCAGGGCTCCTCAGGGCACACATTCTGCACCCGCAGGATGACACAGGTCCCCATGCCCGTGGCATCGGTGCTTGCCTCTCAACCCGGCAGTGCTGCCCGGTGCCTCCAGCGTTACGCGCCTGTGGTGCCACTGAGGCCACAGACGTGCCGCCAGTGCCTGCTGCCCACCTCCTCGCAGTGGTCTGGGGTCCTTGTGCCAGCGCTGAGCACGCCTGATGCTGCCCAGGCGCACGGCTGTAACAGGAACCCCCAGCTGTGCGCCCAAAGCGTGTCCTGGGTGACGGCCACACACCGGCCTCTGCAAGCGCGTTTCACCCTGTGCGGGGTAAGTGCAGGACAGACAAAAGACCTAGATGATGCCAAGGGCTGCAGCTACTCATTCTCTGGTTTTTGGTGGTAGGCATCTTGCCAGTTGCACTTTTTCCCCATTTTTGGTAATTTCAGAGGTCAGGTTAGTAGAGTTCACCAGACATGCGAGAGCTTGATTACCTTCAAATCCAACACGCAACACTCCTTTGTGTTGGAAGCTTTACAGTGCAGCACAGAAGATGCTCATCTCAGACCAAACTGTAACCACAGCACGTGTTCCTGTGCTCCCTAATGATGCCACAGAAAGGAAACTGATGTTGTCTTCCTGTGACAGACAGTCTCCTCTGCTCGCCTGTCACCTCACACGCAGAGGACACACCAGTGCTGTGCCTGATGCGGGGTGGGAAACCCAGAGGAGCTGGCAGGCACCCAGCACCGTAACTGCGTAGAAGGGGACTGGCTCCAGGCACTGACGATGCCAGCACACACGCAGATGCAACAGGGCGACGGCTTGCTCTGCCTTGTGCTTTGCTCCCACGCTCCTTCCCAGTCTCATTTCAGCACTGGAAGCTTTCGACATCAGAAGGGGCAAGATCCACAAGTCCTCTGCAGCATGGCCTGGGAATGCCCCAGCCCCTCGGCGTTCTCCAGACAGGTCTCTGCTTTGCTGATCCTTGAGGCAGGAGCAAACACTGAGTGAATTCTTCCTCACCAGTCTTTTACAACCTGTGCTGCAAAACACAACGCTTAGCCGCAGCGACAGCGGCAGACACGAGGCTTCCCTCGTGCCTCCTGAGGTGTCAGCGCCAGAAGGGCTCTACGAGGCAGAGCGGCCACGTCCCGACTGTCTCCCTTGAGCATCTCCATTTGGCTGGGGAGGTGGTGGTAGGGAAGAGACACAGACATTTAGCACAGGACACCGGGCTTGCGCCCCGAGAGCCTGACCTCCCTAGTACAACTCACTGCTTCCAGGTACTTTACCTTCGTGCCGGACTGGACCTTGATGAAGCCTTATTCATATTTCTTCTTTCCACTGCTTTTTTAATATCTGTAAAGAATAATCAACCCATCTGTTCAATGCTATGGAATAAAAAACAAATCATCAGCATAATTCAAATGAAAGCAACTTAAGCTCAACAACATCCAGATGATGCAAGAAAATCCATTCAGCAGAGAGACACTGCCACTTTGACAATTTTTTATTAAGTTTAAATAGTACAACGTAATTAAATTTTAATGGATTTCTCTGACTTCAAAATAGGGTGGGCAGCTCGGGGGAATTTTTAACCCTGTATGCTCAGGCCCACATCCAGACTCTTCATTCCATAAGAGAACCTCTTTCTTCTGCAGTCTATGAGCAAGCACAAAGCGACTCATGGACTCTAGGAGAAAAAGCAGAGTCTGGAAACCTCCAAGAAAGGAAGCTGATGGCCAGTCCCGCAGCACGTGCAGCCACATGCCAAGGGACAGCTGCAGCGCGAAGGCACACAGCCTCCTTCCCCGGGAAACGGGCCCCGGGCGCCCGGAGCACCAGCTCCCTACGAGGCCAGCGCGGTGCATGCACAACACCATTGCTAGCGTGGTCAATGGATCAGAAATTTGGAAATTGGTTGGCTTCTGAGCATCTCCATGAAAAACACCATGAAGTGAAAGAAGTAAGAGCTGAAGAAACAGAGTCTGGTCCCCAACCAGGAAAAGTGAAGTTGCCCAGAAGCGGCGGGGGCCTGTATTGTTCTACCGTGAGGAAACAAAACCTTCTGCAACGGCTGATCGGCCGTGCTGGCCGGGGGGTGCGGTGGCCCAAGAACAAACAGAAATTACTTCAGCTGTTTTACCCTGAGAACCTTTTAAGAAAAAAACAAACCTAGGTCCTATCTGCTCCCTGAGAATCTATCAACAATTAAAATTAACTACCTTCAAAGCTCCTGCAAGTCAATAAACATGCCACGATGTCTTTGGGCAGACTCTGTCTTAACGTCTCCTGTAACTTCCCAAACTATCCTTCATTACTTTCAAGATTAAAATTGGAATTAAGGGATTAGTTCTAATTTTTGCTCTTGTCAATCAAGCAGCAGTGTGTCCTCTCTTTAAGGGGCAGAGGCAAGTGCCACCTGCACACTAACCCCACCCGCAGCGCAGAGCAACCTCTGCCCTGGCCACTGTCACAAGCCACATTCCATCGGCATTAGTCCCTAAACGGCTTTACTCATCAAAGTTCTGAAAACACAGCTACACATTTGGGGAAGCCTTAGTATAAGGCAACACTGAAGTGAAATGCTCCCCAAGCCTTCACCTGGACTGTGTTATTAGCAATTATACTGAATACTCGGACTGTGTAACTGAAGGAACTGTTACCCTTTCCCCCCCCCCCCAAAGCCTCCTCCTTCCCCTTCCCCCCCCCCCCCAAAGCCTACTGCTTGCTTTAAACAAGATGCTATCTGCTGTCTTTGGTTTAAGATTATTTTTATTTTCTGTCTTAAGATGCTATTGCAGAAACCTATTACAGTTTTGGTTTTTGTGGTTGTTTTTTTTTTTACACTCAATACCATACATTTCTTTCAAATTAAAAAAAAAAGTATTTAAATCTGAACGAAAATAAACTACTAGAAGAAAAAACACCTTTGACAGGGATCCTTCCCTTGTGCAAAATTAACAGATTTAATAACCTTTTATTTAACGCCAACAGCATTTACAAGAGAAGTATTTGAACATTGACAAAACTTCAAGGAAAAAAAGTCTTCTGTCCTGTAGGATTTTGAGATGCCAGTGCCACTGCAGTCACACAGTGGAACTGGCTGAATAAACACAGGTAACAGGAGCGGCTCGACTCATTCCTGCCTCGAGTGTGGCAGCGGCACTGAGCTAGAGCTTATCTTTCAGCCAAAGATGAGGAGCACAGAAACCACCAAACTCCAGGAAGTTATTCCAGAAGTAAACTACTGTGCTGTTAAAGAAAACTGTTTATTGCCATGGAAGGACTCGTCATCCCTATGCCTCCTAGCCGAGGACTCCCTGATCTGCCCGTGACACACCGTCACATCACTGCTGTACCGTCAGCCTTTCGCTAGGGCTCGTTCTTCAGATTTTTCTGAGCCTTCTCCAATTTAGCGTTATCCCTTGTGAACCAGGCGCACCAGACCTGAACACAGCGTTCCAGCAGCAGTAACCCACCGGCACCAAGCCCTCCCTCCTGACAGATCCATGTCTGCACACAGAGCCGCTCTGTTCCCTTCTGCCGTCACTGGAAGCTCAGGGCTGCCTGCATCCAGCTTAGGGAGGAATCGGGTCATTTCACCACCAGCAACTCAATCGTCATGATGTCATTCTCTTTTAGAAACAGGATTGCGTGTTTTCTTTACGAGTCACTTTTAAAAGCACCGTATGGCCAGGAATAATTTTTTTCAGAACATCACTCAAAGCACTGAGCAGCCCCATCGATGTCCAACCAACAGTCATGTGAAATCCATCTAACCCTACGTTGGTTTTAATTGCTCAAGTTTCTTAATCAAATCAAACATCCTACAGAAGTCTCACATCAACTCTGCTGCTTTCAGCCGTAGAGCTCGCAGCATCATAAGTTAGTTTGACAAGATTTATTTCCATTTGCATTAACTAATTCACTTCTCACCCAGAGTGAGGTGAAAGAATCCCGTCATTACCAGGGGCTGATGCCAGGCTCGTCCCATTTACGCTGCCCGTTGGTACATCCACAGCGCTCTGCCAGGGCCCTGGAAACTCCCTGGCTTCCCAAGGCTTGTGGAAAACCAACATCAACAGCCCAGGCAGGTCTCCACTTCACTGAGCCTTACAGATGGTCGTTACATTTAATTTTTTGGAAGGGTCTAGTTTTGGTAGCTGCTGTTTTACCTTTTTTAGTCTGCTACTGAAATGGAAATTTATTAAAAACACCTTCTGCCTCTTCAAAAACAGAGAGCAGAAACATTAACTGAAGATTAGGTGGTCCTTTCCAGTAAGAAATTTTATCACTTCCAGTGACACCTCAGCTTCTAAAAGAGCCGCAGTTGTTCCTATTTAAGCTTCTAGACTTTGACAATGCTGACCATAATTTCTTCTTGTATCCTCCCACCCTCCTTATCTGTTTGTCTCCACTCCCATCTTCAGGCTCATATTTGCTACCCCGTGCACACCCTCCCACAGGCTATCACCTACTGCTCCTTCGATTCCTTTCCAAGTCAAACTGTTTTTCTTCAAATTTCAATAGGATTACTTCAAAAGTACTTTTTTTTTTGCTTGCATTTAACAGATTACTCTTAGATTTCTAACCATTCATTTCTGTTTAAGCTTGCTCCCAGCACATTTAGCAGAATTACTTTAATCTTTATGTAAACGGCCTTTTTAAAGCACCTGGTATTTATAGCGCTACTTACAGACTGATTTCACACATGCCAAAAAACCCAAGTTAGGACAGCTTATCTAGCCAGCCGCTAAGTGCTGTGACCAGTGCCTCTGAACCTGTCAGGATGAAGCCCAGTATTGGTTTATAAACGTTTCCAAAGCCACGTGCGTGAGGTTCCAATGACCGCTCTCCAGGGCTCACACGTGGAACCGTTTCTCGCACAGGGCAACAGAGCTTTTGAAATCCCAACACATAACAACGGTTCAGAGTACGGCCTGGGCAGCAGCAGAACACACTGCGGACGAACCACACAGCACTCGTGGCAAACGACCCAGAAGGCAAACACCCAGAAACAGCGATTTTAGTCTAGCACCAGGCGACTTTCACACAGCAATCCTTCCGGAGAGCTTTGGAACAGCAGCACTCTGTGCCGGAACGCATGCTGGGGGCAGCGGGAGAGCACGGAGCAGTTTCCTTACCTAATCTATACCCTTTATAAAGGCGACCCTTCTCACCGTCCAGAGCGGCCTGGACATCTTCGAGACGGTCATACTGCACGAACCCATAGCCATGGTACATGCTGAGGGCTGGAAAATCAACAGCAGGGCAAGACCGGTTACAACCACGCGACAGACTAACCCGCGCCCAGGCCATCGCGTCACCCCACCAGGCCAGCGAGCAAAAGGCTCTACCCAGAAACAACCACGCGAGGTTCCTGGGAAAACCAAATCTACCAGGATCAACATGCAGAGCTTAAAGACTCTAAAATATATTGCACAGATCAGCTTCCTTCTGACAAGGCAGTGACCAAAATACAGCTCAGAAGTGACCACGACTCAATTAAGAGATTATGAGGTCACTGGAAGGAGCACTGTAACCCCAAAGCTGAAACGCAGCTTTACAAGGCATTACATTCAGCTGTGCTGAAGGAATCACTTTTTCAGGGAAGATGCAGACAGAGGAGATTGTCATTAAAAGGTCACTTTTTAGGTACAACATTAGTCACTCCTCTAGTCATCATCAAATAGTATTTGACAAGCAGGAAGGCTGTCTGCCACTGAATTCCCAGCCACAAAAAGGCATAAGATAATATACTAACCCCTGATTGTGCCATATTTTGAAAATATCTCTTCCATTTCTTCACGAGTCATGTGGTCTGTGGGCAAATTGCCGATAAAAAGTCTTCTCTCTAAATCCTGAGGATTGGTGCTGTTAGTGAAGTCGCTCTGGTTGATGCTATTGCTCTTGCGTCCTCGAGTCATTTTGCTTTCGTTCCAAATCCAACTCTTCGCAAAAAAGAAAAATGGCCAGGCATATAATTTCAGTCCATGACATTAAAATTAAACTGGAACAAGATTAAACTTAACAGCTTTGCAGACTAGAAGCCAACTGGGTCTGCGTGACGCACACTTCACTCCAGAGAAATCTTAACACAGGGGCTCCAGAGGGCTGGCAAAACGCACACGGCAGCACTCCGGCTGAGCCTTCCTGTCACACCGAAAAGTGGTCTGCCTGATGGCTTTGCAGATAAGTTTTAATAGTTTAACTCCAGACTAAGATACAAATAAAACTCATTTTCCACTAAAACGTCTTAACTTTAAGCTTTTCAGTACTCCCATTGTTGTCATATCCATTTCTTCAGTCCACTGGTAGAAGTGTTGAAATTTATGCAATATTTTAATAAGCGGAAAGGAAACACTCATCGCAACACTGCATAACAGCACCCAAATATTTCAATATCAGCTTTGCGAGACATCAGGGTGTACTGCTTGAATGCCCCTAAGTGACCGCACTCGGATCACTGTCCTACACGTGAGATCCTTGCTGTCCAATACCCAAAAACGCAGCTTCTCCTTCACACCCCTCCTGACCAGCACATCCAGACATCAGCTCCCACAGAAGGCGGGTCCACAGCTGGAAATTTAACCACCCCCCACGAGTGCTGCACCGCTGCCTCATCTCCCCCAGCTCAGCACAAGGACCCGTCGGTAACCCACGCCGCTGCAGGGAACGCTGGAGCAGCCGCCAACATTCACTGCACAACCTTACCCCAGGAATTACAGAAAAATCCCACCAAACAAAAACCCCAAAGAAGAAACTCCACCACGCTAACAAAAACCGCACCTATCCAGCCCAGGAGTCACACTCTCTGGTTTAAAAGTCACCATTCCCCAAAGCTTAAAAACTGAAAAAAACTGAAACTTACAAGATGAACTTGAAAGTTTGAGAACTATTTAATAAAGCTGTCCTACTTCCTAAACAGGAGTACAGAAGGGGATTTCTGTTTATGACGTGCCAGAAACTGGGAAAAAGAAAGCTGAAAAACTGAAGTAAATCAACAGAAACTTCTGCTAGTAATGACGAGGTGCCTACAGCCAACCTGTATCTGCTGCAATTTAAACCTCTAAATAAACAAGTCAGCACAAAAAGCAGTAAGAAATTCCTTTTTTTTTTTTTTTCCTGAGGGTGGGGAGAGCAGGGGGTGGCAGGGCAAGAGGGTGCAGGAGCCTTCCGTACGAAGGAAAACAGGGAGATGCTTTTCCACTTGCAGGTCACTTCCACAGCAAGGCAATAAATCCCAAGCCCTCGTCTGGGTGGAATCACTCGAGAACTTTCATACCAGAGCATTTACTGCCTCTCACCCACTTGTTAGCTTTAGTAACCATAGGACCAGAGTAAATGACTGCTGTCCCAGCTTTAGGCGAGCTACCCCAGGTGAAGGACTGATTCCACTCTGAGTCTTTCTTCTACAAATGCAGCCGGAGAGGCCGACGACGCACCCGGGCAGCTCGAAGGTGCTAATCCCCCCGCGCAGAAACCCACCGCCCAGCTCAGCAGGTCCCTACGACAGGACAGCCCGCATCCGCTCGTGGGACAATAAATCCTCTGGAAGTTAATTAAAGCCACATTTCCCTAAAAATCTCATATTTTAGACAAAAGTTATTTATTGATAGTGCTACAGCTTCAGGAAGCAGCTGAAGCGGGACCCTGGACCTCGTCTGACACCAGGGGAACGTGACACGGCAG